ATCAAGAACCAGATAATACTTCATATTAAGAAACATCTAATCAAGAAATAAATAATACCAAAAATACATCTAATCAATATAATAATATACTAGTTCAAAAATTATCTAATCATAATAATAAAGATCTTGCTGAAACTGATGATTATTTGAAATATAATAACGATAAAAAAAATTGAGAATCTAAAAAAAAGTTAATTTAATTGATATATATATTAAATTTTTTGAGATTATATAATATTAATAATTATTATATATTCATATAATTAATATATATAATGCAAATTACTAACTCTTCCCAATGATTACTTGTACCAAATTTTCTTTAAAAATAATTACTCTATTCTCTAAATTCTCTAAGTAAATCTACTTTGGCCATCTAAGTAAAACTGTTTTACAGTATAAGCGGCCCTGCTTCAAACTTTTAAAGCTCTTTTACAAAATTATAACTTCTTTTTTAAATTTTACTTCTATTAACCAAAACTCAAAATTCTATTAAGTTAACACCCAATGCTCTATAATACAAAAAGATTCATCTCATCAACAGCTTTATTTTGATATATAATATACAAAATTGGCTAAAATTAACAAAACTAGATTAAAATACTTCCCAACTCTGCTACAAAAATTTTATCTAGTTTTTACAAAAAATTTTTCTTTTTTTTTAGTGACTCCTGACTCTTTAGAATGTCCAATATCTGCAAATCCACATTACTAATCAATATTACTAATTAATTTACACAACCCAATATCTGTTTCATCTATTTTTATACAAAATTTAATTTTACTATTTTAGTTTTAGTAAATTTACACAAACTTTATTCTATCGACACACAAGTTATACTGTTATACTTGGTTATACCAAGCCACACCAGCCACACTTGTCACACATATTTAAATATTTGGTTATACAAGATTATACAAAGTTACATATAAAGCTACACCAGCCACTTCTTAAATAATCCCTATTATTTATACATTTTTAACCTCTAACTTATAAATTCTATACCCACAAAAAAAACAGTAATTTTAATTATTATTTTAACTTCTTACTATCATTCTAACTCTTACAAAAAACTTAGAATATTTTCAACAACAAATACAAAACATATATAAACTAACTATCAAATATACTTATTCTTTTAAAAATATCTTAATATAAATTTTCCCACTATTCATTTAAATATGATTCCAACAATACTCTTGACTGGTTTCAAGCATTTCTAATAAACATCAAAGCAGAAAAACAAACTCAATTTCCAACACTTCTTGGTATTCAAATTCTTGACTTTATTAAACATTTCTTTTAAATTTCTATCCTGGTCGAATTATTCAACCTGAAGCTCCCAATTAACAAGCTACCAAAAGCAATTTTGATAATTTATTACAACATATAGTTTCTCAACAACTACAATTTTTTACTGATTTTATTTACCAAAATATAATTAATGACAACAATACCAATGTATTATCTAATTATCTTCTATTTATTCTAAGAAATATTCAATCCAACTTTACTACCATTCTTTTTACAAAACTTAATTATAAAAAAATATTTTATTTAAACTATTTTTTATCTTCTTATTCTATTTCTAAATATACTTAAATTATAATTAATCTTGCTCGTCTTTACCTTTTCCTTCTAAATCAATACAAAACTATTAACTATATTAAATTCTTTGAAGACTTGGATCTTAAATCTATTCATATATCACTTTATTTTAATACTACATTTAACAACTCTGATCAACTACTTCTTAAAATTAAAAATAATGCCAAATATAATATTTATATTACTTTTGATATTTTATCACAAAATTTTTTAAAAACTTTTTATATTCTTTTTTTTAAATCTTATACAAATGGTTCTTAAAATTTTTTAACTTATACAAGCAACAATTCCTACATATTAATCAACAAAAAGTTTATAACTTTATTAAATATCAAATTATTACCTATCTTTCTAATGA